CATTTCATGTGTATTTGTTTAGTTTTTGCAGTCTCCACAAATTCCTTTCGTGATATAAAGTCGTGCGTACTGTGTAGGCGGGGTCTTACTTAGTTCGACCCCTGGACTGATCCCTAGTGCCATTTTGGGTGATTTTTACAACGCTTTCTGTTCGTATGTGTACGCACAGGCGCGTCGCATACACTTGATCCTTGAGCCTCGAGCTTGCAAAGCCTCCGGTCCAATAAAAATATAGTTTAGATCTCACCATTGTCAATTTGTAATTGGGAACTTTGAGAGCCTTTCCTGTTGCCGAAATTTGAGTCCTTCATCAAACTATATCACAATACCTGTTAGTTTCTTTTTCTATTAAAACTGGTGACAAGTGAAGCGCAAAGTCTTGGTTCCAACGCATTGAAAATCAAGACTGTCTAGTGATACGGTACTATTAATACTAATTAATTGTTGACATGGTAAATAATATACAAGCCTTGATTCCTGAGGTATCTGGGTTAGGACAGTTGTTTAGGCACTTCCAGATATAAGTCGGTCAAATACGAATATGACAGCGCTCGGCTGTGTCGAAATACACCTTATAATCAATGTGCTTCAAACGGAGACAGCTCACCGCTGTGTCAAAGATGGACTATGATCAAAGTATACGGAATCAAACAAAATAAGTCCAGTCAAGTAGTGACATGATTCTCCCAAAAGACGAGCCAATCATAAGAGAGTTGGGAGCACACAATTCGACCTCTCACCTATCAACGATGGGCGTGCGGACATGCATGTGTGTGTGTATATGAGCATATAACTGCCAAGGAGCCATAAAAAATGGTTGCGTGCGTGAGTGGTTAAACGATCGATAAATGATTATCGGTGAACCGGTACAGAACAAGGTCAAACGGAACATAGGTCAACCAATGGGACAATGGAGGTCACAAGAGAACTCGTGTGGTTGAGGAAGTCGTATGAGTGAGCGGTGTGCGTGTGTCTGATTGTCCATAATTTGTGTCAGAGACTGGGAAACCTAAGCACTCGTTTGATTATGTAAGAAATCGGTGGCCAGAACAAACGAATGTCAACGGGACAAATAGGAAGCGATAGAGTCAACAACACATTATATCCGACTCACTGTAGAACACTGCTGATTGTTGTGTTTGTCGTGTCGACCACGATTCGTTGTGCAAAATATGTGTTCAATAGTTTTCTTTATTTGCAAGAGCTTTTTCATTCCCAGTCTTCTGCGCTCAACTCTCTTATGATCAGGTATCCCACAGGGGATGTGGCGATTGTCTGGACCCCTGCGACATCATACTACCGTCCACCGGAACCGGCCGAGACTCGTCAACCGATCGAGAAACAAATGACCAGACCACGTAGCAAAACATCACTCAGCACAGTCTCACGTCCCATGAAAATCAGTCCCGAACCCAACACGGATGGAACTCGGTCCGGTAGACCGGTATGGAATCATCGGATTCGATCGAGCGAAAAAACGGCCCGTGGATTTTGGCTGTTCGTTTTCGATTTACCCCAATCAAACCGCGGTCCTCACACTAGTCAACGCTCCGCGGGTAGCACAGTGACACCAACACGCGGCGGGGAGCCAATCAGAGACGATCACGAACCGGGTCAATCGAACTGTGTGGAAATGGATGATCGAGTACAGGAATACAACCAACCGACCACTGAATCATCATCATCACCATCTTCTGAGTATGAGACAGACCATGTCGGTCAACTGCGTGCACTTTTCACCCCATCTGGAGAGGGCGCGATCTATGAAGCTGCAATGAACATTGGGAATCAAATCTTCGGTAACAGCCTGCGAGCTGTATTCACCGACGGTTCTTGTTGCCTCATTGATACGAACAAGTCTACCTCACAGACTATGCCATGGAGAACACTGCATAAGGATGGAAATTTGAGCCGATGCGGATCACCGAAAACCACTCGCCGTTTACCAGTTTCAATCGACACGGCTCTGAATCCGTTTGTGCGTATCCATTGTGCCAGTCCGGAGGATCTTCGTGTTTCCTATTGTTGGGAGAATCAGGTTCAGCTGACAGTGTTTTGTGGAACACAGATTCCACGGGAATCCAAACAAAAAGAGGCGGTAATCTCGACACCTCGGAAATCTATATTTCGTGAAGGTTCACCCGGTGGTCACGTGATGGAACAGGTGGGATGACTTTTAAATTGTATAAAAGTGGTTACAACTGATTTTTTTTTACAGACAGATGGGTTCTGTCGTTCTGATACGTTTGGTCGTCCTTGATCGTGTCCTGATCCCAGTGCGGATAGAAATACAGGACTAGTGCGCCTTGATGATGTGTTCAAACGAGGACGAAACAGCTGTCCAATACTCTTTGTCAACCTCTCAATAAAAATACTTCTTTTTCATGCTCCTTGATTGGTTAGTACGTCCCCGATCGTTCGTCAGTTCCTAATGCTCGTCCAATCACGTGATGCAGTTGTTCATGACAGATACTGATCGATACCCTCTCAGGCCGTTTTGTCCGTGAACCAGTGTGGCCTAGTTTTAGGCCGTCGTTTAATCGATTGATGCATTCTCACGCTCAATCATCAAATCTTTTGCCCGGATCCGATCAGCAGGCTGTCTCGTGTGTGTGTGTTTTTTTTATGTTGAGTTACGGGCCTCCAACAATAATTAATGTCGTACACACACACACACACACAATGGCGCAAGTTACCGACCGGCAACCCATTCTGGTTTCATTATTCTTAGTTCATTCTAAACTAAACAGATAATAGTAAAATGTATTTTTAACTTTTTGTTTTAATTTGTGACCTTGAGAACATCTACCGTATGGATGTTTGACATGTAAGACCGCAACCTGAAGAAAGGATACCTTCAGAGAGTGGAAAATAGAGCAGCCGAGGTACTACTACCTATAATTCAACGATAGGTGCAGCCTGGAACAACAGTTTACACAGATCAGTGGGATAAATATCACTGTCTGTGTTCATTGGAATATATACACGTATTTTGCAAATCCGGGAACTGGTTTATATAGAAATAATGCGGATTCCTTTTGCAGCCGTATTAAACGGCGCTTGAGAAATACTACAGGATCAGTTGGTAACATCATACAAGAGCATTTATAGTAAATGCACTATAGAATGTGATTTGAGTTTCTTTATACGAACGTTTATTATAGTGACATTTCACATATTGGGTGCATTTTTTTGGTTTATCATACGGTTTTTTAAATTAAAGATGTGTATTTTTATGTGTATATAGTGGGTAATAACCATACATTACTTATGAGTAGTACGCGCTTAACTACGAAAATTAGTGCTGATGGGGATGGTATTCATCGGTAATGTGAGCCCACACAGAATCGCAGCCGACGTGCCTCTTGACCCGATACAAACTGTTTTTGCAATTCGAAATATTTGCTGAAACATTCCTCTCTCTCCTCCTCGTCCTCCCGGTGCTTGTTCTCGGTGCAGTTTGTGACAAAAATGCCATTTCTGACCTCACTGGTCGAAAGTCAATATGAACGTTTCAGTGCACCCTGGCGCAAACGACGAGAGGTGAGCAGTGCGATCTGTTTA